AGAATACTGAAAGTGCCAGACTGCCAGAAGACCAAAAAATCTGTCTTGGAGGAAGTATAGCCAGAAGGCTCCTTGGAAGCCAGGATGGAGAGACTTTGTCTCGTGTACTGCTATCAGAGCAAAACAATATCATGCTTGTTAAAGTAGAGGGTCAGCAAAAAAGAGGAAGCGCCCACCCAACAAGGCGGGTGGACACCATGACTACAATAAAGAATTCAAACGGGGCTTACGCGGGAGCAGACACTATGTCATTCTGTTGGAGCTGGGCTGTCTATGAATCGGAGCCGAGTCGATGGCACCAACAACAAAGAGAAATGAAGTCCTGTTAACAGCTACAACATGGAGGGACCTAGAACATCTGATGCTAGGTAAACTACAGCAGAACAAATGGCAAATACCGCATTATTCTAGAAGCAAATTCGGACAGGCACAAAGGAGATCAGAGGTAACCAGTGGCATGGGCAGGGGGGTGTGGAGTTCGGGGTTAACAAGTATTTCAGGTGATGAGAACAGTCCGAAATAGACAGTGGTGATAAGTGCACTGAACTCCGAAAGTACTGGATGCTGGTAAACACAAATGTTGATACTGACAATTTTATGTTATGCATAATTTAATACAATCTGGGGGGAGTTGATTATTTAAAAGAAGATAATACATTATGTGTTTATACCATATTTAAAGTAGGTGTGACAACAGCATAGAGGGAACGAGAGCCTGGAAGAGCACTCGCGCTGCTCTACCATTCTTGTGTATGAAGCGGTGAACTATCATTTCAAGAGTATCATCCCCGGCAAAGATACAGGGCCCAGCCAAATAAAACAGATATACGGGAATATTAAAAAATGCTCGAGTATAAAAAAAAACAACAGAAAAGGAAGAAAGGATCAGAAAATAACAGAACAAACAGAAACTAAACGGCAAGATGCTAAACTTGAGCTCCATCACATCAGCAATTACATTCGACGTAAAGTGATCAGAACTGTAATAGAAGACAAAGAGCAGAGGCAGTCTGCCACCAGCTGCTAACTAAAAAAGGGATGGCTAGAATTCCCCCAGGGGCTCCACAGAAGCTGTTTCTGTAAAAGACTACAGTCGAGATCATACATAAGATGCTTGGCTGTCCTATGAATCTTGGTTTCCCTGGCATACCATTATAAAATAGACCCTGGAGGGGGAAAAAAAGGAATAGCCAGAAATATCACCATAGAAAGCTTGTAAGTCCGTCTTCTGCCTATAACTGATTGGAATACCTAAAATGGGGCTACAACGTGCCCAGTGAAGGAGGCTTCCTATGGAGCCTCTGCAATACATAAGACTATAGGTAGAAGCCTGAACCACATCCAGATCTCCAGAGATGGGAAATTCCCACTTGAAAGGACGAGCAGACCAACCTGGAGTGGCTAGAAGAACAGAAGATACTTCTTGAAAGAAAGACTGACAGGAAAAATACAAAACATTAGAGGCAGACAGACTGTTACTACAAGAACAAGCAAGTTGCTCGCCCAGAGGACATCAAGGCAAGTAGTTGGGTCCCCTTAGTGGAAACCCCCTTCCAAGACTAAGACTCAATGGGAATACACTCTCTGATTGGTGACCACATTCGTCATCATTATATAATGAAATGAAATCATCAATATTATAATGAAATGAGGGAAAAACAGCAATGAAGCTGCGAGCCAAGCCCTACAACATTTGATAGACTCCTGTGAATCCGGGTGGAGACCTGGTTGGCCAGCAGTGTGGCAAGACCTGGGGACTCTTGGGCCCAGAGTCTGTGACATAGCCACAGAGGACTAGAGTGGAGAGTGAAGCATCCAGCTGATAAGAAGAGAGGGCATATGCACAAGAACACCCATACGTGCAGATAATACCCACTTGACCTGGCTTCACTGAGTGGATGATCAGAGCTCAGTTAGAAGAAAGAAGAGGAAAAATAGAGTAATCTGATAGAATTTGATGAACTTGACCTACACCTATGGATGTAGTAGCTCAAAAGAGGGAACAAATCCTTACAGCAAGGATCATTCCCACCCCCACCATACACAGAGTAGACAGGGATGGGCAACTTGGACATTGGCTACCCAAAGTGGAGGGGCTACAAAGGCAAGAAGTGACTGGCTTTCAAGAGGGAACCTAGATCCACAGGGCGTGGAGGAAGGTAGAATCTCCACTGAGTAGTATCCAATCTGTCTAGGCAGAGCTGATGAAAGGAAATGCAGACAGGTCTCTTGTGATACAATAGTGAATAATTGTTATCAGGACTGATTGTGAGAGTTGTAAATGTAAAGGTAGACGTTTTGTAGCAAGGAGGGAGTGATCAACTTTGTAGTCCAGGAGTGGAGGTCCCTGGGACAATGAAGGGAGAAAAGTGGAGAGCAGGACCCTACCCAGAGAAGCAGTGATGCCAGAGATGGACGCAGAGACGACGACGTGGACAGATGGAGCAGCTGGGGACTTTAGATCCAGAGAGGGAGAGGGGCTATGTGCTGACGACCAGCGGGCAGGCTTGCAGGGTATACCCTATGGTTGGTGGATGATGCATGGAGGGGATTGTAACCATAGCAATGAAACGACGTAGATAGGATGAATGTAAAGTAATGTTCTCCCATGTAAACTATCACACAATTCATAATAAAACATTTAAAAAAAAAAATAGACCATACAAAGTAGTCCCACTCCACAACATATGGGAGCCAGGAATCAGAAACGATGCTGGAGATCACATGACAGAATTTTGCAAGAATGCTGACTTCATAGAAAACACCATTTAAAAATGCATAAAAGATGACTTACAACATGGACCTCACCAGATGGAATACACAGAAATCAAACTGACTCATCTGTGGAAAGAGATGGTAGAAAAGCTCCATGTCATAAACCAGAACAAGGCCAGGGGCAGATTGTGGAACAGACCATCAATTGCTCATATGCAAATTCAGGCTGAAGCTGAAGAAGATGAAAACAAGTCCATGAGAGCCAAATTATGACCTTGAATATATCCCACCTAAATTTAGAGATCATCCGAAGAACAGATTTGATACATTAACCACTAAAGACCGAAGACCAGAAGAATTGTGGGATGTCATCAAGAACATCAAGAAGCAAACAAAAGGCCATTAAGAAGACAAGAAAGAAGGAAAAGACCAAAATGGATGTCAGAAGACACTCTGAAACTTGCTCTCCAGCTAAAGCAAATGGGAGAAATGAGGAGGAATAAGAGCTGAACAGAAAATGTCAAAGGTCAGCTCAAGAAGACAAAGTCAAATATTATAATGAAATGTGCAAAGACCTGGAATTAGAAATCCAAAACGGAAGAACAGGCTCAGTATCTCTCAAGCTGAGGGAACTGAAGAAAAAATTCAAGCCTCGACTTGTGCTACTAAAGGATTCTACGGGCAAAATATTGAATGAGGCAGAAGGCATGAAAAGAGGGTAGACGGAATACAGTCACAGTACCAAAGAGAAATGGTCAGTGTTCGCCGATTTCAGGAGGCGGAGCATGTGATCACCAGCCAATGGCACTGAAGGAAGAAGTCCAAAGGGCACTGAAGGCAAAGACCAGGCACCAGGGACATGGGACCAGGAATACTAGCAGTGCTCCGTTCTGGTTGTGTAAGGTTGCTGTGAGTTGGTACCAACTCAATGGCACCTAACAACATGAGTCAGTCCAACAGGGCAGCAGCTACAACAAGAAAATAAAGCCCAACGACGTGTTGAGTAGGAGGAAAGCACCTTTAGTTAAAGGCAGGTTTGTTACGGGTACGAATCTAGCAGATGAGGCCCTAGTTGGCACTGGAGGAGAAGCACAGACTGACTGCTAACCATCATCAATTGAAACCCACCAACGGCTCTCAAAACCCTAGACAGGGTCACTGTGAGTCAAACCCAACAGGACAGCACCTAACAACAACAGAAAAATGGTAACGTCACCCACGTGTTCATAACCAGCCCCTGGAGTGGTTACAGGCATATCTGAATAAGCACATTTCAGACTTCAAGACAAGTACAGCAAAGATGTCAGCTTGAGGACTAAGGTGCGCCTGACCCAGGCCATGGTATTTTCAATAGCCTCATATGCATGTGAAAGCTGGACAGTGAATAAAGAAGATCGTAGAAGAATTGATGCCTTTGAGTTGTGGGGTTGGAGGAGAATACTGAAAGTGCCATGGACTGCCAAAAGGACCCAATAGATTTGTTTTGGAAGAAGTGCAGCCAGAGTGCTCCTTGGAGGCCAAGATGGCTAAACTTTGTCTCTCATACTTTGGACATATTGTCAGGAGGGAACAGTCGCTGGAGAAGGATGTCATGCTGGGTAAGATGGAGGGTCAGAGAAACAGAGGAAGACCCCTAACGAGATGGATTGGCCAGGTGGCATCATTGATGGCGTCAAATGTGGCGGCGGTAGGGAGGTTGGCCCAGGATCGGACATTGTTTCGTTCTGCTGTACATGGGGTCGCTATGAGTCGGTTCCGACTCGATGGCACCCGACGACAACAACAACAACAACAAAGAGCAGAGATCAAACCATGACCCCAGGGGTTTCTACAAGTGGCACTCACACACTCAGAGGGTCAGGATGTCCTGTCCCAGTGGTTCCGCAAGCCTGTGAAGGACCCAGGCGAGCAGTCAGACCACGGCTCACAGACACCCACCTCAGGCCAGCAGACCCTTCACCCTAACCACCAGGGAGGGCACCTTCACTGCGTGCACACATACACATGCATTGTTGTTGTTATGTGCTGTGGAGTTGGTTCCGACTCATAGCGACCCTGTACAGGGTTTCCAAGGCTGTAAATCTTTACGGGAGCAGAATGTCTCATCTTTATCCCATGGAACAGCTGGTAGTTTTGAACTGCTGACCTTGCGGTTAGCAGCCCGATTGGTAACCACTACTTTACCACAGCTCCTTGCACATGTACACATGCATACAGGTACACAAGTGTGGGGGTGCGCACACACACACACACACACACACACACACACGCTCCGGGAAGCACACCTCCAGAAGCCGAGAGATGGCGTCCGGCTGGGCCCGTGGGCGGCTGTCGTAACAAGGCCACACCACGCGGCGCCTGCTCTGAGGGGCTCCTCCATCAGGCCGCTCCTCTTCAGGAGGCTCGGGGGGGCCCTGAGCCAGTTCCCAGTCGTAGGGAGGTCCCTCGGCCAGAGTCTCCTCAGTGTAGAAATCCCACACCTTGAGGTTGGACACATTGCTGTAGGGGCGCAAGACCTGGGGAGAGGAGGACAGGTGTTGAGGACAGGCCAGGTGGGCCCCAGCCCAGCCCACCCCGCCCTCCGCACTGACCTCTGTGTCCTCAGGTGCATACATGTAGTTGTAGAACACCGGCGTCTTTTTGCTCAGCCGGTCTACATACTCCCATATGGACCTGCAGGGCTGGGGGCCCCTCCGCTCCCCCTTCTCCTCATACAGCAGGCCTGAGGGGGCAAGATGCTGAGTCTGCCCGCCCCCCACCCCCTTCCTCCTCAGACAGCAGGTCTACGGGGGGCATGGTATGGAGCCCACCCACAGGCCCCTTACCCAGCTCTATACGCTCATAGTCCGAGTCCAGCAGGAAGGTGCGGAAGCGCCGTGACACATGGTGGTAACTGAGGAACTTGAGGTAGAACTGACTGAATTCAAACTCCATGGGGAACTGCAGATGGACCTGCAGGGACGGCCAGCGTGCAGTCAGGGGCTGCTAGGCCAGCACTGCCCACGCGGACCCCATGGGCGCTCGCAACCCCCACCTGGTGAACACAATCCAGGAACTGTAGGAAGATGGGCGTGAAGCCACTGCTCTGCCCAGCCAGGGTGTGGGCCCCACGGTGGCTGAAGCGATGGCCAAAGGACAGCCATTCCTTCTCCACCAGCAGCCTGAAGCCCTCCAGAGTGCGATAGAAGGGGTCCGACAGCAGCTGTACCAGCGACACCACCTGTGGGCCCGGCTCGTGAGTGAGTGCGTTCTCCCAGTGTCCCCCGTGTCCCCTGCCACCCCCCGTCCCCCCACACACCTGGGTGGTGATGTCCCAGCCGTCTTCCAGGCTCACCAGCACTGAGGAGCCCGAGTCCAACAGCTCTACCACCAGCACCGACACTCGCAGCAGCTTGTGGATCTGAGGGGACAGCCACCTGGGTGACCAGCCCTGTCTGGCTCAGCTGCCCAAGTGAAGTTTGGGTGCCTCGGCACAGCTTGCCTGGACAGCACGGCCACGCTGGGCAGTCCCAGAGCATGCTCTAGCCTTGGGGTCTGCTGTCCAGCAGCCTTGGCTGGTACCTGGCCCCACTCCCTGGGATACGGCATGGGGCCACCGAAAGGGCAGATATCTTGTCGCCCGAAGTCCAGTGCCCTGCAACCTCTGCAGGCCACTGGACCCAAGGCCACTGGGTCCGCCCTGCCTGGCTTCACAACCCCACGTGGTGCTCCTACCATTCAGGTGGGGTACCACCCTGTCTCATCCTAGGGCCAAGTTGTCCAAGAAGCAAACCCAGACCCCTCAGTGTCCTGCCCCCGCCGCCCCCCACAGCACGCACCTGGCTCAGCCACTCTGAGTCCTCCAGCGAGCGCAGGTAGGAGGCTGGGCCTGGTTCCGCAGTGGCACAGCCAGGGATACACGCCTTCAGCAACTTCTTAAAGCTGGCCTTCACCTGCCGGGCCTCCAGCACCTCGATGGGCACCAGCTCCCATTGCTGCAGGGGGTCCTGCCGCACACCCTGGGGGAGGCTGCGTGAGGACGCACGGTGGAGAGCCCCCTCCCTAGCCCAGGGCCCTCCCCACACGCCTGTCACCTTAAGCTGTGCTTTGTCCCCGATGATGTAGAGGGCCGCACGCTGGGGCCGCAGGAAGCTTGGGTCCGGGGGGGCCCCGTTGGGCTGGGGGGGGCCCAGCACGTCTCTCCCTGCCAATCGGGAGCCTACATCCACACCAACACTGCCGCTGCCACTGCTGCGCCCACTGACCCGGATGCTGCCCCACTTCCCTGCGGAGTCAGAAACCAGTGAGCGCAGGCGGGGTCGGGGAACCACTTACCTGGGGTCAGCTGAGCTCGCGGGGTGGGCGGGTGAGCAGGGAAGAGGTGCTGAGACTCAGGAGGTGACACTAGTGCCCACATTAGGGTGGGGCTGTTAGTGCTGCTGGGAGCGGGCAGTAGCACTGGTTTATCACTCAGGGGCGGTTAGTGCCGGCAACAGGCCTGGGCTCTGTGGCCTGGTACGGTACCTCGGGGCGCGGTCCGTCTGGAGACCGAAGCCGCCATGGGGTTGGACAGCGTGGTGACCCTGGCTCGGGGACTGGGCACTGGGGGCAAGCAGAGAGAAGGCTCAGGAGCCCACCAGACACCATCCTGCCAGCCTGGCGGCAGAAGTCCGAACCAAGACCCTCAGGAACGGGAAGAGCCGTTGTTCTGACAGGTGAGGAAGGTGGGCTTATGCTCTCCAGCTTGACCCAAGTGGAAATGGCTCTGGACCCTCCTGCCTCCTCCCTTCCCCAACCTCCTCAGGGTGCACAGCCTCCAGGGAAAAGAAGGAGGTAGGCAGCAAAGGCCCGAAGGTTCCAGAAGCCGAAGGCCCAAGTGGGGGCTTGGCCATGGGCACAGCTTGACCACCCAAAGCACAACTCTACCCAGGAGCTCAGCCCAGTCACAGGGGCCTCAGCCTTCCCCTAGGGTTTCCAGGAGCAAGAGACCAACTCAAGACAAAGTGTAGGGGGTGGAGGTCCCACTGCCTAGCCCCCGTTACCGAGAACCAATATTAGTGATGCTGTGGCCTCACGAAGGAAGACCCTCACAGGGGAACTCAGAAATACTGCAGGACATGGAATTAGTCAGTCAAATGACCAGAGGCCAACCAGGGGAAGACAGGCACCAGAGGGGGCCAGGGAGTCAGCAAGTGTCGAGACCCCAGGACATCTAGGATGAGGACTGACAGGACTGTGACAACACAAGATGGGCAGCCACTCTCAGAAACCGTATGACTGGGGCGCTGGGAGTATTAACAAGGATCGTGGTCCCTCACAGGAGTAATCCTTGAGGGGACACTAACCTGTGGGGTTTGGGGGGCTCAGGGAGTGACTCCCCGAGGTGACCTGCAGTACAGGCATGAGGACAACTCACCAAAAGTCAGTCCTCAGGTGACAGTCACCTCTACCATGAAGGCAGGGTGCCTCACTACAAGTGACCCCTACAATAACAGTGGTCTCAACTACTGGGCTAGCACTTCACTAACTATCTGTAACATGGCGCCTCACTGGGAGTGACCTGAGGGACGACGGCAAAACGGAGGACTCGAGGCCGTTTAAGTCACTCAGTCCTCACAAAAAAGTCCTTATCGGGTGGGGACTGTCATCATGTGCCAGAGGGTGGGGTTGCCGGCCAGAGTTGGAACACGGTGCTCCCCCAGTTATGGCTCCCTGCCTGCTGCCCACAGACAGAGGAGAATCCACACACAAGTGTCCAGAAGCCTGGCTCAGAAGACCCTAGTGTCGGGGATGGAAACTTAGGGTCACGTGCTGGGCAGTGGCAGGAGTGGAGTCCACACCCCAGACCTCAAGGAACTTCTGCCTGGGGGCGGGGAGGGATGAGGATGGGAGACTTGGAGAAGACCCTACCCTTAAGAAGTGCAGTGGGGGAGAAGGTGGGAGAAGGGTTAGGGGGAGCAGAAGATTAGGAGAAAAGAGGAGAGGCAGAGAGAATGAGGTGGGGGGCAGCGGGGGCGGGGGCAGAGGAAGGAGCCAGAAGGGAGGAGAAGGGAAGAGGAGAGTAGGGGGTGGATGAGGAGGGAGGGGTGCTGTAGGGCAAGGAAGCCAGGCCCCTCCAGGTGGGGAGGGCAGAGCTGAGGGACCCTCATTGGTGGTGGTCGTGGAAGTAGTTTCTGCTATAAATGGTGCTAGAGGCCTAGGAGCCAAGATTCCCTGAAGGTCTGTGTGGCAGAGGCCGGCGGGCAAGGTGACAAGAGAGCAGTGTGAGAAGGTCAAGGTGACCCTGGCTCAGGAGAGTGACCGAGGCCAGCGTGGGGAAGGCCAGTGGTGACCCTGCAGGTGTGGGCAGCAGACAGGTGGCTCTGTCTTCCTGAGGCCACCCCAGACAGCTGGGGATGGAGCCATTTGAGGAGGCCCAGGAAGAGGACCCAAGGCGACCACTCTAACGGGTGCTGCAAGGCAACCCACGCTAAGACGGAATGAGGAACGAGGGGCAGTAGAGGTGGGACCAGGGACTCAGCCCACTTACATGGCACTAGGCAGGCCCAGTCTCCAGGCCAAGGCCACCTCCACCCCTCCTGCCTGGCCCAGCCCCAAGAAGCCCTCACCGTGGCTGCCCAGGTGGGCAGAGGAGAAGCCACTGAGGGTGTTGCGCCCCGAGGCGTCAGCAAACCGAGGCATGGAGCTGACCACGGCCTGTAGGTACTTCTCCTGCTCCAAGCTGCTGGAGTCTGCCTGGGACTGGCCTGTAGACGAAGGGGTGTTGGGTGGGCACAGAGCCAGCCCATCAGAAGGGGGAGGAAGAGGAGAGGGAGGGGCAGGCGCGCACACCTGGTGACGGTGCATTCTGGGTCTTGAAGAGGCCGACGACGCCCTTGCCGTGTAGACCCCCGGAGCGCAGAAGCACAGCCCGGGAGCGCCCACTGCGCCAACACACCACAGGGAAGCGGTTCTGGCGGTAGCAGCGAGACACACGCTGCAGGGCATTGTCCTGGACACCTTGAGGCACGATCAGCAATCCAGGGTAGCTGCAAGGAGGCACCATGTGAGGTGGCTGCCTAGTGCCACCATGCCCTGAGACGGAGCCCACCCACACAGCCCCACCCAGCCTGTGAGAGGAAGCAGCTGACCTGCGGCAGATGGCGTACATGCGGTTGACGGGGGAGACGCGGAAGGGCTCCGACTTGGCGCGGCTCAAGCTGCTGCTGAGCGTGCCCAGGCCCAGGCGCTGATAGTCCCTGCAGCACGCCCGTTCCACCAGGCTGCTCATGGTCATGCGGTCGGCAGGCTTCAGGGCTGACGTGGGGGTCAGGGTGCTGGGCTCCGGCTCATCTGACACTGGGGTACAGCTCAAGGGGTCAACCACTTGGGGTTGGCACCAAGAGACCACCTGGTTCCCTCCCTCCCACTCACCTGAGATCTCATCTTCTTGGTCTTCAGGGGACAGCTGGGTCCGGTGCTCCCAGCTGGGGGCGTTGTACTTCTTCCGTGTGATGTACTGCCTGCCCATGGTCTTCTTGGCGTTCTTCACCAGGTTCCGGGACAGAGTTCTGAGAGGGAATCGCATCGGTGTGGTGAGTGGACAGAGATGATGGGTTCTGAGGACAATCAGGGAGGGACAGGGACCCCACCAGGACTGGTTCCATACTTGAGGGAAGGGCCTTTGTCCTTGGTGGCCCTGGCTGGCCGACCAGGTGTGTTCATTGAGCCCCCAATGAAGGCAAAGGTACCCCTGACATCAGGGGGGTATCGCAGTTTGTGCAGCTGCTTGCGGAAGAGCTCTGCGCTGTCAGACCCCACCTCCTCATCAAACACCATCTTCAGCAGCTGTGACAGACAAGGACAGCCCCCTCAGCAGATGCCAGCCAGGCCCCTCCTCAGATACCACAGAACACACATGCAGGTCAATGAGAAAGCCCACGGCTGCAACTGGGAGGACACCGACGGCCTGCAGAACAGGCAAGGGGCATGTGCACATCCCAAGGGGGCAGTGTACAAGTCCACTGTGGCATCTTGGGGGTTAGCCTCATGCCCTCCTCTCCAGTAACCCTGAGATGCACACCCGTCCTCTCGTCTGACTGGAGTTCCAGGGCACTGAGCTCCCCCAGGAGCAAGAAGGTGTACAGCTCACGCCGGCCCCCAGTTCCCACAAGAAGGTGTGTGGCTCAAGCTTGAGGACAGAAGCCCTTCCCACCCACCACCTAGGGCCCCAGGGCCCTGGCAGGAACCCTCCCCACCCACCCACCTGGAATGTGCAGGAGCGCAGCTGCAGCCCGTCCTGAAGGTACTGGTCCACAGGGGTCTGTACACTGATGCGCTTCTCCTTGGTCAGCGCAGCCACAGGGAAGGAACGAGCCACCACCTGCTCCCCCACTTAGAAGAAGGCAAAAGGGGAAGGTTCAGGGAGGGGGCATGGCTCCAAGGGCCTGAGGTACCCCTCACCTAGAGAAGGCGGGAGTCGGGTGGGGAAGGAGGACTGGGGAGGGGTCAAGGTCCCAAGGGAGAGCCCAGGAAGGGGAGGTGCAGGCTCACCCAGGGGGTCGGTGGGCATCCCGGTGAAGATGACACGGTAGGTAGTGAGGAAGACGGCACCCTCAGCTGGCAGCAAGGCAGGGCCCCCCGCACCACCCCCTGCGCCAGCCTCACGCCCATCGGCGAGCAAGTAGACACGGAGCCCGTCGAGCACACACTCCTCGCCAGGCAGCAGATGTGGCCGAAGCAGCTTTGGCTGTAGAAGGAAGTGACCTCAGAACATGGCAAGAACCCCAAACCTGTAACCCAGAGACTCAGCACTAACAGCCCTCACCCCCCAGTACTAACAGCTCTGACCCCCCAGCACTAACGGCCCTGACCCCCTCAACCCAGTCCTCCCGGCTTAGATGCCTGTGCCCCTCTCTGTGGCCCCACCTTCTGGATGGGTGGCAGTCTCTTGCTCTCACGGTGCACAGCCTCCAGGGTCTCGATGTGCATCTGGACGATGTCTGGGGGAGAGCAGGTCTCACACCCAGGGCCGCCCACACCTGCCCCGTCAAGAGGGTGTCGTGTCCCAGACCCCCCATACCTGGAACCATGACATGCAGCCCCTTGAGGTGGTCGCTGGTAACCCCACTCTCCGTGCAGACCTTGTCTACAAAGCGGTTGATGAAGCGAACCACGGCCCCCGCCACATCTGAGGTCTCGGCATCCTCAAAGCCGCTCTCTGTGTCATAGCTGCCCGCCATGCTGCCCGCCATACTGCCAGGGAGAGCGTGTGGGCACGGGCCTGAGGCCAAGCCTCCTTCCCCGTGCCAAGACATCCCTCACCCACCAGGCAGGCTGGGTACAGGTGGGATGCCCCAGGGGACACAGGTGCAGGTAGGATGAGCAGGCGCACCTGTTGGTGACCAGGCTATTGCTGGCGCTCTCCAGCTCCCCCAGGCCCGCGCGTTCGCGCAGCAGCCGGCTCTTGCTGCTATCCAGGGGGAGTAGGAGATAGCTCATGCGGTTGGCGTAGTGGATGGCCTGGCTGAACACCGTGCTCTCCTCCTTCTGTACCAGCTCCTGCTGCTTCTCCCGACCCAATGTTGGCCACAGGCACCGCTGCTCCGAGGCCACGTCCAGGGCAGAGCGTTCGTCCTCCTGAGGGGGCGTCTCCCCCACCTCCTGTGCATGGGGCCATAGGACCACAGGGCTGCCAGCCAGGCCACCACCCCCGTCACCGTCCCTGGACTCCTCAGCCCCTGTGTCCTGCAGACTCACCTGGGAGGGGGCACGGTCCTCAGCCGGCTCCAGATAGAGGGCCCGGATGTGGGTCTGCACGTCACCATAGAACATGGCCTCCCAGAACTGCGGTGTGCTCCACACCACATGCTCCTGAACACAGCTGTACGCAAACTGCGTGACCCCGGAGCTCAGCTTCTGTGGAGCCAGGACGGGCTCAGCAAGCTGTGGCTGGCCAGACGGGAAGGGATACCATGGTGGGCAGGGCCACTGACACTCACCCGGCAGAAGGCAGTGACTAGAGGCAGGAGGGCAGCGGCGACCCCATGCTCATCCAGGGAGGTGCAGTCCTATGCAGATGTGGGCCTCAGAGTGAGCCCTGCCAGGCAGGCAGCAGATAACCAAGCCCCCTCCATCTGTCTGTCCCCGGGCTTCCCGTGGTATGGCAGCCCTACCTGTAGGCAGCAGGTAACCAAGCCCCCTCCATCTGTCTGTCCCCGGGCCTCCCGTGGTATGGCAGCCCTACCTGTAGGCAGCAGTTCATCATGCGGACAACGAAGTCAAACTGCTGATGGTCCAACACAGCCCGGTTCTGCTGCACATGCAGGTGCAGCTCCTGGGTGAGGCAGCGGCGGGCAGCCCTGCCCTTCAGGGCCCTCAGCACAGCGGGCAGCAACTAGGGACATGACCAGGTCACAGGGCCTGCAGGGCCAGGGCATGGCCCAGCCGAGGAACAAGTGGGGTGGCAAATGGGCCAGAGCAGGCCAGGTGGCAGAGAGACTGGGCATTATCTGGGTCAGGAAGCCATGACCAGTAGCCACCATCAGCACCTCGCTGAAGACACACGGTGAGGATGAGACAGCAGTCATCCACAACGGTACAGCTCATAGCACCCAGAGACCAGGGGCAGGGCTGCGTGCACCCCCTTAGCACCCTTCCCACACTCACTTCCCTTCCTGAGTGCCCCTTCCCCACAGTCGGTGCCCCCACAGCGGAGGTGTCTGCTGACAGAATGCTGCACAGAGCTGCCCGCGCACTTGGCTATGGGGTCTCCCACCAGTTCATTCTGGGAAAAGCGTGTTCACCTCTCAAAAGCAGGCCAAGGGAGCAGTTGAGAAGTGGGAATCCATTTGCCTGTTGGCTGCCCCCCACCACAGCCAGGACCACAGGGCCCATGCGCTCTCCTGAGTGCTGCCCCAAGCCCCACATCATGCCCACCTTCTTGGCCTCGAGCATCTTCCCCTCAAACACATAGGAGATGCAGTTCCTGACCACCTCCAGCCGGCGGGCACTGTTGGCATGGAACCCGCTGCTCCGCTCTAGGATGGCAGCTGTGGAGGCAAACAGTGCTCAGCCAAGTCCACACCCCCACACTGCTGGGGGCCCAGGGACATGTCACTCCACCCTGACGCACTCATGGGGGGTCCTGAGGGCACGGTGGTCCTCCTCTCGGCCCGCACAGCTGGGGGTGCACCCTGTGTCTTGGCAGCAGCCTGGTCCACAATCCACTGCACAGTGCCCTCGTCCAGCCGGGGGAAGGGTCGCTGCGGTCTTCGGAGGTGACTGGTCTCCGCCGGCTTCTGTACTTTGTGCATTGTCACCGCAGGGTACGGGTTCTCCTGGGGGGGGGGGGAGGGGCAGCATAGGAGGGTGTGGGAGCCCCCCTCAGCCTGTCTGCCTTGCCCACTCCTCCGCCCGCCCTGCCTGCCTTACGTTCTTATACAGCTGCTCCGCCAATTCCTTGACGTGACGCAGTACCCGCTGGGGGTGGCTCTCATCTGCCCGCATCCGTGCTACTTCATGAGCCACCAGCTGGGGGAGGAGGGCAGGCTGTTGGTTGGGGTGGGGATAGTTCTCCTTCCAATTGGAGGGAGTAGGGTCAGGCAGGCAGCTGGTCCTGGTCGGGGGCTCCCGTCTCATGTCAGGGCAGGGCAGGCATGCACCTCATCAAACAGGTCCGTGGTGCGATAGGGGACCCCGCGCTCTGACACGAAGCCTGCAAAGGCCATGCCCTCCAACACCTTCATCAGGAAGTCGTCTTCTAGTAGCCCCCGCTGGCCCAGGAAGGCTGCCTGGGGGCACATCAGGGGCTTAGTCTCAGCGCTCTCCAGCTGGCCATCAGCTGCCACCCACTAGGCCCTGGGCCCAGCACCCACCTTGTGGAAGCGGATGACGGGCTCAGGGTGGATTCGGACGATGTGCAGACACCAGCGGTAACCCTGTAGGAGCTGAGCGAAGAGTCGCAGGAAGACAGCCCGGAGTTCCTTGTCCTGTAGACCCGGTCGGTAAGGTGCCTACCTCAGTGCCCTGGGACCCTGCCCAACCCCCTGAGGCTCCCATGGTCCAATGCCAAGTCAGGCTGCCTCTCAGCCTATCCTGGAGGCCCCTGCCACACACACACCAGGAAACTGCAAGGGGAGAGGTCCTTTGGGGGCCATGAGCAGGAGACAGGAGTACCAGGGTAGACCTGGACAAAGAGCAGTGTGCCCACCTGCATCTTCAGAGAGGAGGTGGAGGTCATGGGAGGTGGGAAGGCGAGGTCAGCCAGCCCCAGCTCTGGATCCAGGACCTAAGGATGCAGGGGAGCAGAGCTCGGGGGGCCATCGGCCACCAGTGCTGGACCCCCACGGTGCCCCCTAGCCCCGTGCCCCATGCTTGCCCATACCATGCTCAGAACACTGTGCGTCTGGCTCTGCAGCGGCTCTGGAAGGAGAGGGATGTGTACACACTCGGGGACAGTCACTGTGCCCCCATCGAGATCAGCAATGATCACATCCAGCTGTGGGCAGAAGGGGTGCCAGGTCAGGGAGCTGCAGGGGCAGCAGAGGGTCCATCATCACTGGCCCCATCAGCTGGGGGTCCGTCAGCAGCAGGGTTCAGCAAGGCCATAACAGGAGCCCCTCAGCAGCTAAGCCCCCAGGTGTGTTCTTGCTGTCAGGAAGCAAGCCGACTGTGTGGTCCTCACCAGCTCCTGGGTCTCTGCCTGGAAGGCCGCATTCACGCCGATGATGAAGGGTGTGGGTGTGCTGAGAACCTCCAGGAGCTGTGCTGGCAGGATGGGCACGTAGGTGAAGCTGCAACAGGTGGGGTCTCAGTGCAGGAGCCAACCCACGGCTGGGGCTGGGGGCAGGGGCAGCAGGGGACTCCATACCTGTACCGGAGGGGGAACAGCAAGGCCAGGAGGCCCCGACAGGCATCGGCCAGCCGCTGGTAGCTCCGGGACAGGAAGAGGATCTTGTGTTCAGTGAGGGCCGCACAGAACAAGGCTAGCACGTTGGTGATGCCTGAGGGGGAAGGTGGCCTTGGAGAGGTGCCCTGGTGGCTCCCGGCCTGTGTAAGGAGCACCCCCCACCTTTGGCCCCAGCTATACTACAGCAGGCTGCAGGGTGGGGCTCACCAAGCTGGCGGAAGAGTAGGGCCACACTGCAGCAGCTGACAGGCAGCGAGTCGGTGAGAGGGGTCTGGATGACTTGCCGGTCACCTGCACCCAGAGAGATGGTTCTCTGCAGGGAAGAGGAAGGTCAGGGCCCAGGAGCCCCGACAAGCCCCATGAGCCCAGGACCCATGGCCTGGCACCCGACAGAGCCTGAAATGGGCCCAAAGGCAGGGATGGGGCCCTGAGTGGGCGGAACAACAAAAGAGTCCGTACCGCTCCTTCCTCAACAGAGTCCAGCTGCACAGGACAGACAGGCAGAGAGACACAGTTAGACACACAGCTGGCCACTCACAAGGCAGACAGGGACACCAGGGAGGGGCAGGCCAGACAGACACCTGCCCGAGTGAAAGGACAGAAGCAAGAGGTGCCCAGCCTGGGAGGCCCACCTGCGAGCCCCCCGTGAGAGGGATGGTGCAGGTCAGCAGGTTGCCAATGACACTCTCTAGGGAGACACTCAGGCCCTCGATGTGGACGGTGTAGATGAGCCCGAGGCTGTTCTGCAGGGAGTACAAGTTGGAGAGTGGAAGCACCTTCGGACAGGAGGCCTGGCCCCGCCCCGCCCCGCCCAACCCCGCCCGCCACCTCACCCTGAACACCTCTGCATGGTCCAGCCGCGACACCAGCACCAACGTCTTTGGAGCAAACAGCTGGCTGGGGACGGCAGACGACAGGCGCGTGGGGACACCTTCGTCCACCACCTCTTCTGTCCCCTTAGCGTCCTTGGCACATACAGCATCCTGAGCACAAAAGCTCCGTCACTCGTTTCTGACAGGCACACCCCCTACCCAGCCCCCGGAGGAGACACAGCAAGAAGGGGTGGGGGGTCGTCTGACCTGGGGGGGCTCCGCAGGCTCCCAGAAGGTCAGGCAGGCACAGTAGTGCCGCTCGGAGTTGATGTCAGTGAGGACGGCAATGAAGAACGTTGGGGGGTTCCGTTCGGCACACAGCTGCCACCCACTAGGTTGGCAGAACTGCAGGGAGTGGTCAGGCCCTCACTGGCTCACCCCAGGTCTGGGTTCCACCCCAGCTCGGGCAGCGCTTCACCCTCTGGGCCAGGTCAGGCCCAGTCCATTCAAGCCTCAATCCCCCAGCACAGAGCTGGGGGACAAGAGGGCAGTGGGGGCATCCCAGAGCTCCAACAGCAGACCCTGGCTGCCTGTCCACCCTCTCCCAACCCCACTTGCTGTAGGCTCTGAGGAGCACCCCCGTCCCAGCTCTACGCCCAAGGTAAAGATGTTCCTGGGGACCAGCCCTCCAACATTCCAGGCTCCAGGAGCATCCTCACCCTCAGCTGTCTAACCTGGGGAGCACCCCACCCCTAGCTCCATGACCTGGGATCCTCTCTGCCCACTCACCAGTTCTATGCCCTGGGGAAACGGATTGTCCTCCCAGTCCTTCTCTGGAAAGCGCTGCAGGATCTGGCCTTGGCCTTCTCCACTCCCTGGGGACAAGAGCAGAGGTCAGGCCATCCGATACCTCCCACATCCCTACCCTGTGAAGCTCAAAGGTCTGAGATGACCATCTCGTCCATCAGCCTCAGCTCTAGACCCATCAATTCCCTAAAACTAGCCCTGCAAGGCAGGCCAGAGCCCGACTGCGACACTGGACACCAGAGTTAGGCCAGTACCACCCAACGCTCAGGACAGCCAGACCCCCTTGGAGCTGCTACATGGGACTCGACAGCCCCTCACACCTGCCTGCCCCTTCTAGGCACTGCAGCCCCAGGTGAGGTGGCCTGCACACATGTGGGGGCAACAGTGGTGGACAACTATGTCCAGAGCTTGGGTCCTCCCCTCCCATATCCCTGAGCCCAAGTCTGGCCATAAGCAGGCTGATACATGCCTCCACCACAGTGCCAAAGGGGGAAGCCACAGGAGCCCCCTCCCCCTTGATAGATGGGTCCATGCACAGGCTCTGAAGGCCAGGTCAGTAAGTACTGTCCCCACCACCACCCCCTTCCCTCCAGACACATGGAGCAAGGGGGCAGCTGCAGGCAGGGAGGACAGACCTCAGGTTGCCCTCTGAAAGGGTGTCTAGTTGGGGAATAGCTGGGGGCTCAGCACTCAGGGAGCTGGGAGGCTCTCCAAGAGTACCCAGAGGTCCACACTCCTCCTGGTCACTCGTATCAAACCTTCTATGTGTCCTCAGCCTGCAGACCCTGACAGCTTCCTCCACTACCAGCAGGCTGCTGCCCTACATCACCAAATCAGGAGAGATGGCTAAGGCAGGGAGGTATGGTGGTATCCTTCCTCAAGTCCCTCTGTGCACCACCACCTTGCCCAAGACAACAGGTGGCTCAGTGTACACCACAGCCTCCAGAGGCCTGGGCCATGCTGCGCCCATCTCCAGCCAGCATCTGGCCACACACGCAAGTGAGCAGAGGAGCGCACAAGCAGCTTGGGCGGGGGGGGGGGGCCTGACCACAAGGGCGACCCTGCAGCTCTCAGCCCCGTCCCCCAGGTCCTCCTAAGGGTAAGGCAGCTAGCTAGCTGGGAGACATACCCAGGGGGAGTACTGAACCTGGGTTGTCCCTCAGCACGTTCCTGCTGGGCCGGAGGTGGGAGGTGAGGGGCCACAGGCTGACTCACAGACCTCAGCTTCCTGCCTCCCTTCCCCCACTGACATCAGCACAGACACAGCAGTCTGAGGCTGGGCCCCAACAAGGGGACAGGTGTCTGCTGGGGCCGTGGGCCACTCACTCACACACACACACAGCATGTCCACCTCACAGCTCAGGCAGACTGCACACTCACACACACCCTTATTCCCAGATGCACGCACCACAGAATGAGAGCTCTCACACTGAAATACACACACACATCTCACAGCCGTACGTACAGACACACACACACAGTCACTCACACTCACGTCTCACACCTCCACACACTCACCCCCATACCTCGTCACCCCCATTCAGACACACACACCACTCCCACACGATCACACTCACTCTTAAACACATTCACACACACACAGCCCTCCAGGGCACCTCCCCAGCCCGCCCTAGGTGTGGGGTCCTCCAGGAGTCTCCTCATATGCTAGACCACAGAACGTCATCGGAACTCCGCCTTGAAGGACTCAGGGCCTGCTCGGAGCCCACACAAGGCAGGCTGGCCAAGAAAGGCAGAGAGGCTTTGGGGAGGGACCACAGCCTTCAGCAGCAACTCTCCCCCCAGGAAGTGGGCACAGAGGAGCAGTGGCACCGTTTCCCCTGCCATGGAGAGCCACCCCAAAACCCACACAAGGCTTCCCATCATGCCTGGCAGTGGGGACAGCTCCCCACGGGACACCTTGTACCAAATGGCTCCTGACTGGTTCTGCCCCTGGAGAGTTTTCTGGAACCTTTACAGTGACCCCACAATTCCTAGGGCCCCCCCACCCCCCACCCCGCCCACCATGATTACTCGGGCACCTCTAGGCTGTCTAGGTTGTAGCCTTGGGAGCGAGAATCAGCCTGCTTCTCCACTCTAAGCCCAGCCTGGTTCAGAGTCCCGTCTGAGTGGTGTCTGTACAGCGCCAACCATCCTCCCCCGCCACTCAACGTACAAGACCCCCAGAGCCAAATGCGGCCTCAGACCAGAAACCAGAGCAGAACTTGGACCCAGACTCAGACCCAAGAGCAGGACGTGGACCCGGATTCCGAGTGGGACCCGAGCCACACAGGACGGGCAGCCTCAGTAAAGCCCCCAATGATGGTGCCATCTGGTCACGATCCTTCCAGCATGCTAAGAACAGCTGTCCCACATCCTGCTCCATGTGGGCAGAGGGTGACATGGGGAACCCGTCCACTAGCCCGGTTTCCCGCAGCGGCCATGTGACCCTTAAGCCTGAATGCTATGGGGGGGGGCAAGGATGGTGTCACACTACACACAGCGCTGTCCCTGGGATCAGGCAGTGCCAACCAGGTCAGCGAACATGATGGGCAGGTAGGGGTGACCTGCAATGCCCTGTGTTTCCCAACCCTGCAGGAGGCCCCCCCCCATTGTACCAAGATATACCATAGCCTCCTCTGTAACCTCACACCCCTGTGTTCACACAGGGCCCCCCCACATCGCAAGGATAGACCACAGCCTCCTCTGCAGCCCCATGCTCCCTCTGTGCCCCCACAGCCTCTTCTGCACCCCAATCTCTGCGGGAGGTTCCCATCCATGGTACAAGGGGAGACACAAGCCTCCTCTGCACCCCCACGTGCCTGGAGCAGTCTCTCGCCCCCCTGCCCCCCAAGTCCAGCAGTTGGAAGAGGGGAGGGAGAGGAAGGGCAGCCTCCTCCCCTGCTGTTCCTCCCACCCAGCTCTCACCACGCAGGCGCACCCGCCCCAGGCCACCACAGCATGTGCAGAGGAGGGGCCACAGCCGCCCGGGTGTCCTGTCCCTATCTCCCCACCCCACACGCTCCCTCAGTCCCTCCCAGAAGCAGACCGGACCAGCCTGGACCCAAGGCCCTAGACCCTCTCAAGTCCCTGGGTGGGGGCTGGGAACCAGCCGTGGCCTCCCAAACAGCCCCAACCTGCTCCAGAGGGCGGGCAGGCGGGCACATGGGTGGGGACAGGAATGTGGCCTGGCTCATCACAACCAGGCTTGACAGACAGCAACAGGAAGTCCAGGATGGATGTGGCGGGAGAGGGTGCTTGTCCCCAGAGCACATCAGTGGACGGCCCGGGGCCACGCTCCATGTCACTTAGGCCATGGCCAAGAAGCTGGGCCTTGTCTACTAAGAGCAGGCCCATCCTGTCCCAAACCACAGGGGGGCAGGGTCCACACCTCCCAGGCAGGTCCAAGTGGCAATGACCTTCCCTCACACCACCCAGATGCACAACAGATGGACAGACAGCGCATGCCCAACCCAGAGGATCCCTGTAGCCCTGCCTTGTTGACCGACCCTCATATTGTCACTTTCTCCTCACAGAGTCCAGGATCGGGACACTGAGGCTCAGAAAGCCTGTCCGTCCTAGGGATGCCTGGAGGCGGGGTGGGGGTGGCCTCTCCCCGACTGAGGACTGTGCCGGGCACTTCTATGGGCCACTGACAGCCAAGGCTCTGCTCCCGCCAGGCACGCATCACAGCCAGCTGTCATTACAGCCTTTGTCCCTCCTCATGACACCCCTGCGCTCAACCAGTGTCACCGCCTGGGCCCTCCTCACACCCTAGGCTTCACCCGCTTTTGAGCACACTCCTAAACAAGTCTCCCCTCTCACATACACACAGCCCCTCTGCAGACCCACCGTGAGCAGGGACTGAGAATGCCCTGGGGAGAGCCCAGGGCCAGGAAGAGAGTGATTCTGGGGGTGCTGCAGGCAGAAGGGAGGACCCCGGGAGCTGGTGACAGCGCGGCCAGCCTGGGCAGGGGCTGTGGGCAGCAGTGAGCTCATGCTCACAGGGCTGAGCGCCCCACCTCCACGTACCTGGAGTACGCCACGTCTCCAGGCTGCTGCTGCGGGCTCCGGGTTTCCCACACACACATCCCCGGACAGAGGCCCCCATCTCCTGGACACCAGCGCCAGTCACCCCAGGAGCACCCATCTCTCCCCGCCAGTCCTTCAGCTCCGGTGCCATGACCCCCCACCCCCACCCCCCGGAGCTCCGCACCAGATACGGGGGGTCAGAGGAGGGGTCTGCAGGAGAACGACCGGTACCCCTGCACGCAGAGTCCCCGGCAACCGGCCAAGCCGGACGGAGCCCAGCCTACCCAACTGGGATCGGGAGGCTCACGCCGAGGCACTGCCTGGCTCGGGCTGTCACTCACCCCAGACAGCCTGCGGAACGCCCGCCCGCTGTTCCAGCCCGAGCCGCAGGCGCCCGTCACCCGGGCACCGGCGTCCAGGCCCCTCCGGCTGCGCAGGCCGCCCGCCGCCTTCGGCTCGAGCTCGCGGCCGCCACTCACCTCGCGGGTGCGGCCCGAACGCCACCAGCACGAAGTAGTCCGCGAGCCGGGCCATAACGGGGAGCGCGGGGGGGCTCCGCGGCTCGGGGACGCAAGGGCGGCGCGCTCATGGCCCGGCCCCGGCCCCCCAGACACCCCGGATGCGCTTGGCGGCAGCAGCGGCGTTGGTGGCAGCGGCGACGGCTAGGGATCCCGCCGCCATCTTCCCAGCCAGCCGGCCCGCCCGGCCGCGCTGTGCGCCTGCGCGGCATCACCCGGGGGCCCCTCCCTTGTGGGCGTGGCCCGGAGCGGGGCACCTCCACTGGTCCAGCAGGCGCGGGGATGGTTTCTGACAGCGACGCCCCGCCCCTCGGGCGGGTGACAGGGACGGTGGCTCGGGCAGGTCAGCCGCGCGGGCCGGGGTCGACGTCGGGCTCCCTGTCTGGCGCTCATCTAGCTCCGCCCTCAGTAGCCTGCGGCAGGGGGATCGGCAGGCCTCCCACGCTGTGGATCTAAAGGAGACTTGACTGGAGGAAGCCTCCCACACTGGGGGACCTCCGGAGGCTGACCGTCTGGGAGAAAGAGCGAGAGAGGGCCTGTGCCCTACGCTCTGGGGTCCCCAACCTGGGACTCCACATATATTTGGAGGCATTTGATCTATGTCGTTTTAAAAAGGAGGCCCGCGGGGTCGCGGGGCGTGGGGGACGAATGCACAGTGGACTGGAGGAGGCTGCACCCCACCACCGTCATTCCCCGACATCTGAGAAGACGCCTAGCCATGCCCCGCGCCCCTGGGTAGGGACCATCCGGCCCCGCCTGCAGCTGCCCAGCAGTGCGCAAAGGGGACCACAGCCAGGATTGGAGGGAGCGGAATGGAGAGTCACTTGGCTGCTGATGGAGACTCCTGCTGGTACCCACGCTGCTGCTTTTGAGAGGAGCCAGCCCCCGACCCCCAGGGTCACAGTCCTGCCACAGCCCAATCTGGTGTCACATGACCACACTTGAGTTTGTGAGTGCACCACCCACAAGACTGTGGACCCTCACACTTTCTCACTCATGCTAGGCCCTTGGAGACTGCCACCCCGATCCCTCGACCAAAGTAACCAGCAACCTACAGTCTGTCTTGGGGTTCCTTCCAAACCACGATGCCCCTGCATTGTAGAGCCTGCTATAAACCTAGAGCCTGCTTATGGTCGCCGCCCCTCCCCTCCAGCTTCCTCCCCTTAGAAAGGGACCATGCTTCTCTTTCAGCGGAAGTGGCTCTTCCTCAGGGCCTTGGGCCGCTAGACTTCCTCCTGAGCCCTCAGCTCTCCTCTTCCTCCTTCCCAGGCTCAGCTTAGCCTCCCTGGCCAACACCTTGCTGGTGTCCTAAGCCCCTGACACTGCCTTTTCTCCACTGTCTCCAACTGGCACACCCCAGCCCTGCACAGGCCTGCACCCACCACAGAGGACAGAGTGGTACAGGTGCCAACACACGCCCAGCCTCCGCCCTCCAACCACCTCTCTTCCTCCGCATCACAGCTGTGAGGCCTTGCCCCTCCCTCCCCCAGATTCACTCTCCTCCTCCCTTGGAATCCTTGGCACCTGCCTGCTGTCACCTCAAATTCTTCCACATAAAAGTGCAAGAGCACAAGACCTGGAACTGGTTGCCCAGATGTTTTCTTGTCCTGCTCAAACTTCTCTATAAGGAAAGGCCTCGGTTCCACCTGTGAGCTGCTCCCAGCTTAGCCTGGGTCTTCTGGTCTACTTCTCTTTATGGTTCTCAAAGGTGAGCTGACTCCAGGTGGCTGGCTCACTCCTTCAACTAAAGGTGAACGAAGTCAGGCATTCTCTGCATGTCTCCCTTACACACACACACACACACACACACACACACACACGCAGGGGGAGCGGGGAGCTATGGGGCTCTGTAAAAATCAGGCAGCATCAAAGCTCCTCATCTAATTTACAGAGAATGAAGACATCATCGGCCCAAAGCAGATTCCTGTGAAACAGAGGTCAGACAGACCTCCTTTTGCCAACCTTTTTCCCAGTTCTAACGGCAGCCAGTCACTCGTCCCCGGGCACTCTCTACTTCTCTGCTGGATTTGATCATTTGTTACAGTGACCACACAGAACTCACAGAGCATGCTCACAGTTACCGGGCTCATTGGGGAAGTAACAGGCCCAGGAATGACTCAGGATACAGTTCTTCCATCAGGACACGCCTGCAGGCAGACCTCTCTCTTAGCCCCTCAGTCCTCCACCTGGCCTCTGGCAAGTGTTCCAAAGGTCTAGCTCACTGGCCAGTACCCAGAGACACCCCTTTCTACCAGGAAGTCTCCTATCTGAAGGAGGTCAGCTCTCTCAATCTATGGGTGGCTGAGCCGAGTTTTAAATGCCTGAAAACTGTTAGACCTCTTCTCAGCAAGCCCCCTGCAGAAGGCTCACAGCTCTCCTGCTGTATGGGATGGCAAACCCATTGCACCATCTCCATCTGGTTTCCTGGTTCTGCTGCTGCTGTTTCTCACCATGTCTGGTCTCTCCTGGGTCCAAAGGATGTACTCCACTCCCACCCTTTCTTTTGACAGTGGCTGTGTGCCTGGACAGGGTTTCTGAGGCTCTAAATCTTTACGGGAGCAGCTGGTAGTTTCGAACTGCTGACCTTGAGGTTCACGGCCGGATTCGTAACCACTGCGCTACCAAAGGCAATCTCTTCTTCTGTGATTGTCTCCTTTTTAGCCTAGGGGGTTGCTATGGGATGGAACTGACTTGAGGGCACTTAACAACAACAACAACAACAACAAGCCTTGGGGATAGCAAAGCTGACCAATCCCCGCATTATGGTTCTATACGTCTTGGTTTTGCATAGTCCCACCCCAGCAAGTATTCCATTCACCTTATTTCCATTATTAGCAGGATGGCCAACCCCCTTAAAGGAGCTCTGGTAGTGTAGTTACGAATCGGGCTGCGAACTGCAAGGTCAGCGGTTTGAAACTACCAGCTATAGCTTCCAGAATCACAGCAACTCACAAGCCACCACAGTATGACAAACTGACAGACAAGTGGACAACATTCTTATCAACAGAGAAAAGATTGAAGTTGTCAAGGACTTCATTCTTCTTGGATCAACGATCAACACTTTTGGAAGCAGCAGTCAAGAATTCAACCGGCTCATTGCATTAGGCAAATCTGCTACACAAGACCTTTTTAATGTGTTGAAGAGCAAAGAAGTCAGCTTGAGGACTAAGGTGCGCCTGACCCAAGCCATGGTATTTTCCATAACCTCATATGCATGCGAAAGCTGGACAGTGAATAAGGAAGACCATAGAAGAATTGACGCATTTGAGTTATGGTGTTGGAGGAGAATATTGAAAGTGCCATGAGCTGCCAAAAGAACCAACAGATCTGTGTTGGAAGAAGTGCAGCCAGAGTGCTCCTTGGAGGCCAGGATGGCCAAACTTTGTCTCTCATACTTCAGACATATTGTCAGGAGGGACCAGTCACTGGAGAAGGATATCATGTTTGGTAAGGTGGAGGGTCAGAGAAAAAGAGGAAGACCCCCAGCGAAATGGATTGGCCAAGTGGCAACATCGATGGACTCAAGCATGGCAACAGTAGTGAGGTTGGCCAGGATCGGGCAGTGTTTCATTCTGCTGTGCATAAGGTCATTATGAGTCAGTACCAGCTTGATGGCACCTAACAACAACAACAACAACATGAAAAGAGATGACTGAAGAAACTCAGTATCATCTATCAAATCAAGTCCAGGAGCTAACTGTGGAACAGAGCACCAATTGCTCATATGCAAGTTCAGGTTGAAGCTGAAGAAAATTTCAACAAGTCCATGAGAGCCAAATATGGCCATCTGAATTTAGAGGTCATCTCAAGAACAGATTTTTGATGCATTAAACACTAGTGACCAAAGACTAGAGGAGTGTGGGATGACATGAAGAGTATCATACATGAAGAAAGCAAAAGGTTATTAAAAGGACAGGAAAGAAAAAAAAACAAAAAAACAAAAAACAATGATGTAAGAAAAGACTCCAAAACTTGTTCTTGCATGTAGAAAAGCTAAAGCTAAAAGCTGAATAGAACACTCCAAAAGGCAGTTTGAGAAGACAAAGTGTTATAATGAAATGTGTAAAGACTTGACATTAGAAAACCAAGAGGGATGAGCATGCTCAGCATTCTTCAAGCTTAAAACACTAGGAAAGAAAAAACTCAAGCCTTGACTTGCAATATTGAAAGATCCTGTCGGCAAAATATTCAATGATGCAGGAAGCATCAAAAAATTACACAGAGTCACTGTACCATAAAGAATGTCTGTGTCAGTGATTTTAAGAGGTAGCATATGATCAAGAATCAATGGTATTGAAGGCATTGGTGTAAAACAAGGCTTCAGGAATTGACAGAATATAAATGGAAATCTTTCAACAAATTGATGCAGTACTGGAAGCACTCACTAGTCCATGCCAAGAAATTGGGAAGGCAGCTGCCTGACCAGCCAAATGCCCATTCCAAAGAAAAAGTGAATCAACGGAATGTGGAAATCATCCAACAGTATCACTAATATCACATGTAAATCAAATTTTGCTGACAATAGTGCATCAATAGGAAGCTGTCAGAAATTCAAGTCAGACGCAGAAGAGGATCTGGAACAAGGGATATCATTGCTGGTGTCAGATGGATCTTGACTGAAAGCAGAGACTACCAGAAAGATGTTTGCTTGTGCTTTATTGTCTATGCAGAGGCATTTGACTGTGTAGATCATACCAAACTATGAATGGCATTGCAAAGACTAGAAATTCCAGAAAGCTTAACTGTACACAGAGTCTGTACACAGACCACGAGACAGTCATTCAAACGGAACAAGGGAATTGGTTTAAAATCGGAAAAGGTGTGCATAAGTGCTGTATCCTTTCTCCATACTTATTCAATCTGTATTCTGGACAAATTATCCAACCCAATCATTTTGTTGGAGTTACAAAGACATAGCTGTCATTGCTGTTTGGTGCTTGGAGTCTGTTCCCACTCGACTCGCAGCGACCGTCTGTTCAAAGAAGGAAACCCTGCCTGGTCCCCAGCTGTTGTCAC